TTGATGACGAAGCGCTTCGCATCAAATGCCAAACAACACAAGTAAAAAGCACCGTACGTGTATGATCTGCGGTGGCAGATGAATGAGCCGGTTTCCGCTGAACCTGATCGGTTGCGAGATGATCACCGGCGACGTGGCGATGGGGGACAACGACGAGTGACCACCACCACCGCTACCGCCACTTCTGCCGCTTGCCCCTCCTCCTATTCCACCGCTGACGTTTCCGTTGAGGACCGTCGGACGGCCGGTTGACGAAGACCGGATGACGATCGTGGAGGATGCATCGGCACCGGACGACGAAGGACTGGGCGAGTTTGATGAATTCGATGAATTACGCCTGACCCTCAACAAGCCGTTTCCATTGCATACGACGCCACTCTGTTGTTGTTGTTGTTGCTGCTGCTGTTGTCTCTGTTGTTGTTGCTGTTCGTACATGGACTGCTCGCGCATCAGTTGTAGTCGCAAGTGCGTCCGCGAGTTCATCGCGACAATTACAAGCTATAGCCTCACAAACAACCACCGGCAACGACGATGACGAAGACTAGGTGTCGAAGAAAACCACAACCTGCAAAGACGATCGTCAAACTTTCAATAGTCATTAGCATCGGCAATCAAAACAACGAACACGCATTTGTACGACTACCACATAAACCAAATACTGCTACGTAAAAACATGCAAAAACGAAACTTAAAAACTTTCAACGTTACCTGGCAAAGCGACCCGATTCTGAATCTATCAACCGGCATTTGAACCAATAAACACGAGATAAACGCAAAGCGAAACGACGAAACGGCACATGTTTGAAAGACGCACAATTTTTCTCCTGTCCAAAGACAAACCGCCGCTCGACGCAACCCGCATGCGAAAGTCACCGGAAAACAAAGCCGGTCGTCTGTTATTGAAGTACAACGATTCACGTTATACCAACTTGGTCAACGGACGTAAAGAAATTTAAAACGTCGGTACACGCCGTAGCGCCGTTGATAGTTGGAAATAGTAGACGTCGCTGATCTGCAGGTTAAGTATGGAATAATTCCAAGGTGATGTTGACGGAAGTGCACTATCTTTCAATCAGGTAACTGATATGTGCGTCATCGCTATTTTTAACCGCACAGGAAAAGTAACAGCGGCTTTGAGGTTAGCATTACGCAAAAGGCTGAAAATCAAATAATTTAGATCTGTAATGTTTAATAGTTTTAAATCCTTCCTACAAGCCACATTCACTGGTGCGTCGAAGACAACATTTATTTTCGCAGTTTTGCCTCAGTGCAATATTTTCCAGTTCTGTATCAATCTTAAAAGTAGAATATTGATCAGCTTTATTATTTTTAAAGCCCATTGCAGTGAAATACATTGATGAAAATGCATGATTTTCGAGTTTCTCTTATAGAAATAAGTTACGCAGCGAGCGGTTCCCACCCTCAATTTATCAGACAGCTAAGAACGACGAAGTCCGTGATTTGAACAGTCAACACTACAGGGAATTAGCTTCTTGCTGAATCTTAGAACATTTATTCCTTTTGGGTCAAAGATGAATTGGATGATGTCTGTGCCACCAACTCGATGTAGTTGCCAGTGAGGTAAACGCTCCTTCAGGTAAGGGTAGTTAATCTGCAAAATTTATGATTTCAGGTAGCATTTCGTTGATCAGGTAGCAACACATTACGCCGTACCAATATGAGTATATTTTTGCTCCCAGAGGGTAAACCGGGCGGACAGTTTGGTAAAACAAATCGTATGGAATCATCATGTTTTGCGTGAATGTCAAACTGGTAATGCAGAATATTTAATGCATATATCGTGACAAGTGCGTCGAACGACAGTGAGAAAAGACCTTCTAGAACTGCTTGCAGTCTGTTTTCGCGTCACAATTATCACAACCGACCTCATAGTAAAGTTGCGCGCCGAGTATATGTTAAAACCAGCGTTAATCGGTTATCATCGTATTGACAACGCGAATGAAAACGTTTCACTTCTATTAAAATTTTGGGCGATACAAAACTTTATCTTCTGCGAGACCCTTAACCTTCATAGGCGCATTCACCAAACCGCCCTGACATTTCTTAATGGAAGCATAAACAGCAAGCTGAACCACGTTCTCATCAACCGCAAAAGGCGCAGCTCGCATCAGACGTGTATCTGCGTTAGGTCTGATCAGCATACGGTTGTATTAAAGTTTCGTAATAAACTAGCATGACGTTTTCTGGTTGAAACATCAGCTTCCCGATGCTGACGGGCTAAAATATGACTGAATGCGATCAGCCAGCGGAAAGGTGATACAACGTTATTTTGATGTCCAGTTAGTGCCCAGTCGCGAAATGGCAATAACGATGAAGTTACAGATCTCAACGAAGCCGCCATTTCATCGACACAAATCACAGTTTGGGTCAGGGAGAGAACAGCGAAACAAAACAACGTTGCGGATTAGACTCAAACCCTTAGAATGTATAGGAATGAAGCAAAATATGAGCACTTGCAACACTCTACTGCACCCTTGAAGAAAACCGTCTCTTTTGTACCGTCAATCAGAACTGCCGTCGGGACAGTGATTGAATTATGGCTGCTGACAGGGAAAATCTGCAAAATGGACAAAGTAACCAGAACGGGTGACTGGCGAGCAGTGCCCAAACGAGTGCGGCAACTGATCGGTAACCATGGGACTCGGTCCGTCATTATCCAAAACGCAAAGAGTGTCCCGTTTTTAGGTCAGATGGAATGCTTTAAAGATTGGTTTAGCTTTTCCAGCAGATGTTAAACGGATATATTACAAGTTCATCATTTCGGACTGTTTAATTCTCTGCCATGACAGAGGTTAATGCAGATTCAGCCACAAAACTAGAAATCCAAAAAGCCTTTTTACGCCTGTGTGAAACAGGCTGCTGAATTGATCGGATTTCTTCGAAATTAATAAGGTATCAATGAACTTGGATAGTGGAAAATCTTTAAGCCCTGCTTCATCGAATGTTGTCGTAAAAACGCTTCATTTGAGAATGAAAGTGTGGAATTATTGTTCCTATATTTAAAGGAGGTCAGGCGATTGCGTGTTCTATTTATCAAATCTAGGGAAACTTTCCCTTGGATCATCCCGGAGAGACTGAAGCAGCAGTTAATTGGGCACTAGGTTCAAATTAGGCAGGTTTCCGGCTAGAGTACCTCTTCAGTTTCAAACAGCATTTGATTCTTTCGACATCGTTTATATTCTCAAAATGTTATGGGATACTTGAGGGCTAGGTTTTCATGCCTAGATATATATGTAGGAACTACGACCGCAATCGAATTTGAAGAACTCTATGAATGGTTGCCTATTAACTGTGAAGTTCACCACGGAGACGTACTTTCCACCTTGCCATTAAATATTGTTGTCGACCTTTTGAAACAGTGCTGACTGGTGATGTCTAAGGTCTCGTTCTGGGTAAAAATGACCGTCTAGATATGATAATGACCTGAAGACTCAGATGATGTTGACCTACGGGAAGCGGGCTCTGTCACCTGACGGTTTTATATGCGACACAGCTGCGAAAGCCGGCCTTTACGTTAATGGCAGTCAAACGTTATGATGAACCCATTTCACACACCTGATCTACAAATGAAACAGGGATATGAAACGTATCAGTACGTTGATCAGTTTAAGAATCTCATTTCATGACCTCCAGGGATGTCACCATTCAGTCATAGTTAAAAAGGAAGATTATCCTAGCCTCGAATGAATTTGAAAACTTGTTCAATATTTGTGCTGTGAAATGAGTTCCTCTTCCCAAAAATACACCAGCAACTTCCCTGTGTCAGGTCATGGTGGTTGTACTGCATGGATATAATTTTTCTGACGAATGAGCAGGAACAACGTACAGGTTGAACTACCTACAGCAGCGTTTACGCTTCTGCGCATAATGAGGGTTAAATGGCAGGACCAAGGAATGGTTCCGTTCTTTGCCAAGCACAGATGACCTGGGTAGATGTGAAAATCTAGCTATGTGGAAATGAAGCTAGCTCTCTGAGACAAGCTGGTTGAGCATACACCCCTTCTTTCCGCCCATGAGCTTCTCACTTGTGAGCTGAAACACGGCAGATGTCGACGAGGAAACCATCGTTTAACGTTGAGAAACGAGGTTGAGGCAGATCTGCTGTCAGGGAGGAATGTTTAGTTCTGCGATACAGTAACCGGTGCCCAGTAGCATAATAGCTGAATGGCTGCGTACACAGCAGACATAACAAACCACAGGAGCTGTGCTTATGCACGGCTCAGGCTGATGATCTCAACAAGGAGCAACAAACAAATCTTTGTATGCAAATCGTTGCACATAGCAATAGCGGGTTAGCTCTACACAATAAGTCAATGATCGAGTCCCATAGATATTAGCTTTATATCATACCTGTACTAATCGATACGTTGATCGGGTAGAATTTCAATAATATCATGATCAATTGCTATTCACCTTAACCCATCTGAGTGCTGATTATTCGACGTGATAATCAGCAGAAGGCGCAATCCCAATTTTAGACGCTAGCTTTG